TATAATGTTGAAAATTTATGTCAAAAAGTTATTGAAAAAGTAAATAAATTTTGTTAATTTGAAGAAATTTCTTTTCTATCTAATTTTTTTTTCTTCTTATCTTTAGATTTCATATGTTTTGGCTGCTTTACAAGCAAGTGCACGTGGTACACAAGCTTGTATTAATGCTGCAAGTACAGTTAGTGGAATTATTGCTGATCTAGTAAGATATTTTTTGTTATATAATAATGATTTATTCATTAATATTTAATTTAAAAAAAAAAACAAAAAAGGATACAACAATTTTATTTGCTACTGCTGGTACATTAAATTCTGAACATGATGGTGAAACATTTGCTGATCATCGTGAAGCTATTTTAAAAACAGCTAAAGCACTTGTTGAAGATACAAAAACATTAGTAGCTGGTGCTGCATCATCACAAGAACAATTAGCATCAGCAGCACAAGCAGCTGTACGAACAATAACTAAGGTAATATAAATATAAATTATCGAAATAAATAAGACATATTACAAAAAATTAGAATGTAGTTTAAATGAATATTAATAATGATAAACTATCAATTAATCTAAGTTTTATTGTTTGATTTCGAATTCGATTTACAAATAATGTTGAGATATTCATTTAGCAGGTGTTCTACTTTTTGTTATTATAATGCCTGAAAATAGAACACGTTTTCATATAGTGACGAACATCAACTTTAATGCTTCCACATATTCATTGTAGAATACCTACTGTGTTGATATCGAGACAATAGGTAATTCATGGAATAGTAATAAGAAATGTCTTCTGTAGAAGCGTAATCAGATCGGAGCTCAGCCTCCTGCAAATGTTTTCAAGGAGCATTATTAGAGGGTTTGCAGACGTGGTGAAGTAAGTTAATTCATTACCAGAACTTTTTTCTGATTATGCTATTATGAAAGAAAAACCCTTCTTAATAAAACATGGAAGAAGAAACAGAACAAAAAGATTTGGTTTTATGTATTGGACATCCGAGTCACCAATCGATTTCATATTTTAATAAATAATAATAATAATACGAAAAAAAAAAAAGATAAAACATTTATCAAAGTCTTTTTCAATTTCAGCTTGCTGAAGTTGTTAAGTTAGGTGCAGCATCATTAGGTGCTGATGATGGCGAAGCTCAAGTTATGCTTATCAATAGTGTTAAAGATGTTGCTTTAGCATTAAATAATTTAATAAATGTTACAAAATCTGCTAGTGGGAAAAATATTGATGATCCTGAAATGCAAAAATTAAAAGAAAGTGCTAAAGTTATGGTTACTAATGTAACATCATTATTACGTACAGTTAAATCAGTTGAAGATGAAGCTCAACGTGGTACAAATGCACTTGAAGCAACTATTGAATCAATTGCACAAGAACTTCGAATATTTAATAATGGACAAATACCAACAACTCACACAACACCAGAAGAATTAATTCGTGTTACAAAACAAGTAAGAGAAAGAGAAAAACAAAAACAGAAAGCACAATAACATGTTTTTGTTGAAAAACAAAAATCTTTCACTATTTTCTTTTTGTTCTTTTTGAATAGATTACATTGGCAACAGCTAAAGCACTTGCAGCAGGTCAATCATGTCGACAAGATGATATAATAGCTGCAGCTAATTTAGGTCGTAAAACTGTATCAGATTTTTTATTGATTTGTAAATCAAGTGCATATATAAATGATGATAAAACATTACAACAACGTACATTAGATAGTGGAAGATTATGTATTAAATATTATAAAGAATTATTAGAAACAATACATATATTAATACAAAAATCATCGAATGAAACAAAACAAAAATTACTTAATTATTCACGAATGATTGCACAATCAACACAAGAACTTGTTCAATGTGCTAAACAACTTAAAGGTAAATAAAATACATATATATATTATTTTTTTCATGAATTTTATTTTATTTTATTTTCTTGAAATAGGTGCTGATTTAATTGATCCAGATGATCCAACATATATAGCTGAAAATGAATTATTTAATGCTGCTCAATCAATTGAAGCAGCAGCAAAAAAATTATCAATTCTTAAACCACGTCGAAAACCTAAAGTAAATAAATAAAAATTTTCTGTTTTGTTTTTGTTTTTTATTGCATGTTATATACCAATAAAAGGCCTGTTGTCATGATATGTTTGATATTTGGTTGTTTGATGCATGATTCGACCGAGTATTGTTCATATCAGCACAATTTACCTTATTTTTATTTTTATTTTTATTTTTACATTCACAATAATATTTTATCTTAGTTATGTTTTAGTCAGTCTGATATGAAACTTATTCTATACCAGTAAACATGATGTGTATATATATATATATATGTATATATGTTTATTATTACTTTATAGATATTTTCAAGCCTTATTTCGAGATAAATAAATAGCTCGTGTGATCAAGGTTTGCTACTAGAAGAAAACGAGAAAATAAATTAAATCAAAGTTTCGTATTTATTCAATGTAGCAACCTTGATCACACGAGCTATTAATTTGTTTCTTAAGGATTTTAAAATTAGCTATATTAATTATAAACATATATATATATGTATATGTATAATAACATTTATGTGGTATAAAATAAGTTTCAGGTCATGCTGATGAATTTCGTCGATTGGTGATATTTGAGATTATTTATGATGAATATATATATATATATCTTTCTTTTTTGCTTTATGTCTATAGGAAATAAATGAAAATCTTAATTTTGATGAACAAATTCTTGAAGCAGCTAAATCAATAATGAATGCAGCTAGTGCATTAATTAATGCAGCAACATCAGCACAAAAAGAACTTGCTTTACAAGGAAAAGTAAGTTAATATAATCATATATTAGAATTCTTGGTTCAATTCATATCTTATTAGTAATAGAGCTTTCTTGATAATGATAAAATAAAAACAAAAAAAAAGCGAGTTGTTATGATTAGAATAAAATGAATAAATCAAACTAGTAATGAAAAATATTTTAGAAACGCACAAATCCATTTTTGCCTAAAAATGTTTTCTCAGTATCTACTACTACCAATAAAGGCACTTCGCCTACACAGGTATCATATTAATTAAATGTATATGTATATATATGTATTTTTATGTTGTTCATCTCGTCATATGTAGCTATTTAGATATTCTATTGCACGTAGATCACATCCGCTTAATTTTTGGCTTCTCTTGATATAAAAATTTATATTATTCTGTAGCTTAATAAAGGATATATATATATGTACTCTTCTGGAAAAATATGATTAAATTTTCATTGTACTATCATTCTTAATAGACGAAAGATGATAAAACCAACTGTTTTTTTCCTGTATATAGCATTCATTTAATCTTTCTAGAAGACATATCAATCAAGAATAAAATCTGTTAACATTAGAAGAGTCCGTCGGATAGAAAATTTTCGGTTCCATTAAATTTTTTCGAACCTGAGTCTCATCTGCATTCTTACTACTTTCAATGAAAGTTTTTTGTATCTGCATATGAATATTCTTAACTAGAATCCATCGAGTTCGAAATTCTCGAAAACTAAATTTGGCGAAATACAAAACTAGTCTATAATATGAGTACATGTAAAAGAATTTAATTTAGTTTCTTATCTGTCAATATTTTTTTTTTGATCAGATATATCTGTTCATTATAATATATCAATTTAAATAATATTTTGAATAAAAAATTTTGTTAGGATATTACAACAAAGTTCGATCTTGATATTGCACCTGACAATTAATCTTTAAAAAAGAAAAAGAAAAAAAGTAGTAATGATTGTTTATATCTGTATCGATTAGATACATAAGCTTATGTATTGCTCTTTGATTTAATAATATAAACAAATTCAATTCGCTTTATTATTTTTCTTATGCTTACACTCCATATGCTTTTTCTTTTTGCTTTCTATTTTGTTTAATACTAAAATATTTTGACTAACAAAATGCATGTTTAATAAAAATTTAGTCAATATGACTAATTCTTAATTTAATAATATTTAATTTCAAAATAAATTAATATGTAAATTTTATTCTAGCTTTCAACAAAATCAACTTCAGAAGAAGATGGTCAATGGTCTCAAGGATTAATATCAGCGGTAAAATATTGTTTTATGTTATTGTTTTTTTTTTCAATTAAAATTCTTTTCTTTTTTTTTTAAGGCACGTTATGTTGCATCAGCATGTCATGTATTATGTGATGCTGCTAATGGACTTGTTCAAGGTTATGGTACAGAAGAAAAATTAATATCAAGTGCTAAACAAGTTAGTTCAAATACAGCAGCATTACTTGTAGCTTGCAAAGTTAAAGCTGATTTTATGAGTCAATCAATGGCACGTTTACAAACGGCAGGTAATGCTGTAAAACGTGCTGCTGATGCTCTTGTACGATCTGCTCAACATGCTGTTGAAATGCAACAAGAAGATAAATATTTTGAAGTATCTATGCGTGTTGTACCTGGTATTGCACAAGAAATAAAATGTAAAGAAGTTATTTTGACAAAAGAACGTGAATTAGATGAAGCACGTAATCGTCTTAAAGCAATACGTTTAGCAAAATATGGTCATAGTGAACAAGATTCGAATGAAAGTACATGAATTCATTTGTTTTTTTATTATGTTAAATATTAGTGCAATCGGTAATAAAACAAAATACAAATTAAAAACTTGTCTTTTTTTGTTTCTTTCTTTTTTTTGTACAAAAATGATTTTTCTGCTAGTTTTAGTAATATTCTTTTTTTTTTTCTTGTTTGTTTATTGGTTTTCTGCTTTTTTGCATGCTTGTGTGTGTGCATTTGGAATGCTTTAGTTTGTATTTTGTGAACAAAAAAAAACAAAACAAATCGGAACAAAATAATGGAAAAAGTTCCACTTCTTTTTCTTTTTTTTTTTTCTTTCTCTTTTTATATATAATTTGTATTTGATCTTTTGTTTGTTTGGGATGATATATAAATTTTAAACTCATAAAAAAGATTTTACAAAACAAAAAAAGAAAAAGGACACATGGTTCCATGGCGACAATCTGCTTCATTAATATTACTTGCAAATAGACAAGTGAATAATAGTCATGGCAAAAGTTTGTTTGATTATTCAACATTATTATTAAAACGTTCACCAAAAATGCGTTTTGCACCAGATATTTCAGCGTAAGAATACAATTAATAATTATTGATTCAAACAAAAGTTTATTAAAAAGAAATTCAATATGGTAGCTAAATCATTTTCCCTATTAAATAGCTTAAACAAATGTTAATTATGATATCGGTATATAGTTAAATTTGTACGAAATCATTTCATTGTCAAGATACAGAATGGGTCAACAATGATTCGTTCATTTTGAATAACATCAAAATTGAGTTTATTAGTAATTAGTGATAATTTTTAAGGTTTTTCTCAGTTATGTTGTTAGTTTATTTGTATATAGCTGAAAATATACTTACGATGATTATCTTTTGAAAAATGATTTATTTCCGAGGATACTAAATAATTAGTCACGTGCAAAAATGGTTCTTTTCAGGATTGTGTCAGAATCGTTAGTCTTGATTTTCTTTTTTATAATATGGAATTATTAGTTTTGATTTCGATTCGAAATTCTCCAGTCTTTTTATGCTTAAAATCTTATCCAGAAGAAAGATCATAACAGTAACTGCAGGTTTCTATCGTTTTATCGATAAAAAATTATTTAATAATGGCCATCGAATGTTTTCTTACTAGCTATTAATTCTAATAAAGTTTTTAACGTGAAGATCGTGTTATTTTATGAGTTTATATCGAAAACAAAATAATTCTAGAAAAATCATTTTTCATATTACTCACTATGAATGAGTCAAAAATAATTCAACAGAGTGTAAAAGATGACTTGATCGAGAGGATTTGAAAATAATGCAAACACGCCAAAAATTAACATGGATCTCATTCGTAGTTCGAATTTGTTGAGTATTAATTAGCTGAAATATATATTCTTACTTGCTAGTTGAAGATCATAATTTACATGTTTTAGGAATAAGCTGAATAATTTCTATGCATTAATGATATTGACTTTGAACTTGAGAGAATATTTATTTATATCTTTTTTAAGAAAATTTCAATTAGTTAAACAATTACTAACAGTTGTATTTTGATGCGTTTTTTTTGCAGTTTTCCTGGTGGTAAACTTGATCCATGTGATCTATCAATGGAATGGCCTAAATATCTTTCATCTTCGATAAATATTGATCGATTTTCTAAGAAAAACGCTGATATTTATAAAGATATTGATCATCCTTATCCTGGTCTTGTTTTTCGTCTTTGTGCTATTCGAGAAACATTTGAAGAGACTGGCCTTCTACTTGTTAAATCACATACATCGTCAAATTCACAGTAAAGATAATCTATTTTGTTTTTTGTCTTCTATCTTAATTTAAATACAATTTATATATATACATATAGTTATTCTACAATATTAAATCTACCAAATAATATTATTGAACAATGGCGTGATAAAATACGTCATGATGCATCACAATTTATAGTTATGTGTAAAGAAATACAAATTGAACCTGATGTTAATTCATTATTTGAATGGTGTCAATATTTAGCTGCTGCTGTAGCAAAAGTACGTTTTGATACCATATTCTATATAGCAGCATTATCAAATACACACTCATATTCAATTGCTCATGATGATCATGAAACTGTTTCAGCTGATGTATGATGTTTTTATTTTAAACAATATTATAAATATAATCAAAATTAAATTTCATATTCTAGTGGTTAGGACCTGATATTGCTATGAATGGATATCATAAAAATTCAATAAATTTTTTACCACCACAAGTATATGAATTATCTCGTCTAGCTAATTTTCGAAAATTATCAAATTTAATTGAATATTTATCAAAATGTAAAAATAATTCTGAACATCAAATTAAACGAATGTTAGGTGTTTGTTATAAAATTCCTGAAGCTATGATTATAGTTATGCCTGGTGATGAATATTATCCGTTAGATGCATCATTTACAACACCTATTCTATCTTCAAATAAAACATTAAAAGATTTTGATAGTAAAATACAAAATCGCTTAGTTATGATGAATAAAGGAGATAATCGAAAATGGGAAATTCATTGTAAAGATGGCAATGAAAATAGAGAAAATCAACTTGACGTTAAACCACTTACGGATGGATGGGAGAAATTATAAAAATGCTGATTGGAAAGACATTTTTTTTTAAATTTTAACAATAAAAGATTTTTTTTAAACTAAAGTTTATACACGTGTTCGAGTAATATTTGTTGAAGTAGTGCCTGTTGAAGGTATTGTTGATGATTTTTGTCGTTGTAGCTGTCTTTGTGGTGATAGAGAAATTCTCCTAATTGGTGTACTTTCATGTTTATTTTCATTTCGTCGTATTGATTCTGTACGTAAAGGTGAATTATTTCGATTATTAGATACACGTGATTGTTGTTTTTGTTGTGAATGATTTCCTCTATTTCTTGATTGTTTTGTTTCATTATCAATCAATGATTGTTGTTCTAAATGTTGAGATTGTAATTGACGATTGTGTCTTGTTTTTGATACTTGCATATCATTTTCATTAAATATAGATTGTTCATTATGTTGTATTGATTTATTTGGTATTACTGTTGATGTTGATGTTGTTGTTAATATACGATGTGTACCAAATAATTTACCTTGTAAAGGTTCTATAGTTTTATTCGATTGAATATTGACTTTAGCAGTTGATAAACCATTCAATTCTTGATATTTATGTTGATGATGTTTATGAGAACGTGTTCTATGATTATTTGTAGAAGAATTTATTGATTCGATATTATTTTTATCATTATCTTTATGATGATGTTGATTTGCAGTTCTTTGACCACGTTCGGCTAATGTTGCTTTATGATCAATACCAACATAAATAGGTTTTTGTACAGTTGGATGAGCTGATGATGTATTTGATACAGCTAATTGTGATCGATGTGCTGGTTGCCTATTTGATAATAGATCTTGTCGTGTTATGGAAACGGATAAATCATTAGTTGTAATACTTGGATCATGCCATGATTGTGTACTAGTTAAGAGACTTTTAGATGGTGCTCCTTGTTGAATAGGACGAGCAAATTGTACCTTTTTTGATGGTCGTTCATCAGAAATAACTTGTTGACCTTGATTAATAGATGTACTTTGCATTTGAGTATGAGCATAGTGATTAGGGTCATACGACATATTAGATGATGTTGTCATTAGATAGAATTGATTATTTACATCATGATGTGTTGGCCATGATTGATTCATTAGATCATTTTGAATATTTGGATAATTAGTTGAATACGTGGTTGGTGCACCTGGTGGATCTATGAAAAGAAATAAGCTTTTTTTTTAGTCGAAATTTCTTTGTTTTTTTTTCGATAAATCATAATTGATTGTAATAATCAAATTTTACCATTAAAACTTGTCTTTTTTTGTTGATCAATTTGTTTATTCCAATTTTCATATGTATTAATTAAATTTCTATCGGAATTTTTTTGTTCATTTTTATTTTGTACAAGATATTGATCACTTTCATATGATGTTTTTATATCATGTAAATCTTTTCTTTTTTCTTTTCTCCATCGAGTTTTTTTTTCTTGAGGTCGTGTTGATGATAATCGACTTAAAATACTACCCATCTCGTATTCTGTAGTTAAAAATAAAAAAAAATTTCCAATAATAATTCTACGTTTATAGTTATGAAAAATGACTAGCCGTCATAATTTACCTGTACAGCTACCTTATTTCTTTGAATAAATCAAGGAAGAGCTAATAAACGTTGTTTCTATCATTGAATACTCATTTGTTACGATTGACATGTTCGATAGTAAAAAAAAGAAAAAGCCCCAAGAAACTTATCTTATGCGACTATGTATTCATAACAACCCGTTCCGCATAAATGAATACATAGTAAATAATGGCATGCATTTGCACGTGTATACAAATGCATCGAGAAAAAAAAGAAAAGAAGAGAATACATTCATTCTTTGATTTATTTAATTTTTAGTTTTTAATGGAACGATTTGAATAACTGACAATAGAGAAAAAAAAAACGAGATTGTTACACCATACAATAAATAAATATAAATATATTTAATATAATGAAGTTTTTTTCATAATTCGTAAAAATTCTTGTTCATTTATTTCACCATCACCATCACGATCGGCTTCGTCAATCATTTCCTACAAAGATAAGAAGTAATTATTTTTTATCATGAAAAAAAAAAAAAGAATTTATTAAAGATAAATTTACTTGTAATTCTTCTTCAGTTAAATTTTCACCTAATTCTTTTGCAACACGTTTTAAATTTTTAAATGAAATTTTTCCTGTATTATCGTCATCAAAAAGTCTAGAAAAAAAAAACAATAAACAAAATTTAAATGACAAAAACAGAAAAAACTTCAAGAATTATTTCTACCGAAATGCTTTTAAAATTTCTTCTTTTGAATCTTTTTCTGCCATTTTTTGAGACATTAATTGAAGAAAATCATTGAAATCAATTGTACCTAGTCATTAAATGATAATTATCATTTAGAAAAATGATCTGTCTTCTTTTTTTTATTTACCAGCATTTTCTTTTTGAATATCAGATATCATTTTTTTAATTTCTTCTTTTTTAGGTTCAAAACCTAATGCACGCATTGCAACCTGAAAATAATATTTAGTTTTTTTTTTCTTTGTTTTGTATTAATTTTTTTTGTACTTTAAGTTCTTTAACATCAATTGTTCCTGAACCATCAGCGTCAAATAAATCAAATGCTTCGCGAATTTCTGTTTTTTGTTCTTCAGTTAATTCAGGTCGAGAACCAGTTGATCGTTTTTTAGCTGCACCACCAAGTGCGGGTCGTTTTACTTGAGTTGTTGTAGCCTATTTGAAGTAATAAAAAAAAAAACATTTAATTTTATTTAAACATTTTTATTTATCATACCATTGAGATCGGAATGACAGAATAATAATAATAATAATAATAATAGAAAGAAAAAGAAGAAGAATTTTGACTAGAAAAGATCAAAACTAAAGCATTATCCTTCGATGTGCCATGTTGTCAAGTCCATATCCTCCTGTTCGATTAATAAGATTTGATTGAAACTATCTTAAATTAATTTTATTTTGATGATAAAGTCAAATTTGAATTGAGTTTGAGCAAAAAAAAATGATGTCCAATAATAGAAAAGATGTCAGTAGAAAGCAGTATACAAAAGAAATCATACCTTTATACTTTTATGAGAAGTTCTACGTCATTTTTCTCTAAAAAAAATGAGCGACTTTATTCTAGATACATTCCTTATGTGTCTTTATCAGAGTGATCTGCCGAAAGAAGTGTTCTTTTAACATATAATCTTAGTCATAGTGGCGTAACTAGATAGAGGCTAGAAGAAACTCAGTCCCTCTTCTTCAAATGAGTGGATTCCGCTTTAAAAAAAAACTTGAGTCCCTTCTAAAAGCATTATCAGAGAGTCTGCGCTCCATTTACAAACATAGTCAGATGACAAAGCCTTCTTTTTCACAACTTTTTTCTGGTCATGTCCCTACTCCATCGATTGAAAAAACAGAAGCATTCTGTAAACGTTTATTGTTAGATATGATTAATTTTAATTTAACTTGAAAATTAACAGCGAAAAATTCTTTATTATAATACTCGACAAAACTCAATGATTTACATTTAAAGTTGAAGTTGAAGTTATACAACTGAATTTTTCAATGCATAAAGTTATTTATCTTATCTAAATGTAAGTATGCTATAAAACTTAAAAGAAATTCTTTTTCTTTTGAAATAAATCTTATTAAAATAATGGAGCTCGCTTAAATGAAAACAAAATTCAAGAAACTATTGAAATAGTAACAAATGAGAATTAGCAGTAGATATGTAAGGGAAGTTACTAGCCGATATGAGTTTTATCAGAAACGATTTATCTCAGTGACTGAGCCAACTGATGCATGTAGTGAACCAGGTGTAGCTCAACGAGCTCTATCGAATAGTATATGTTTCATTCGAGTGACAAAGAAAATTTCAGTCCTGAGGATCTCTGGAGAATTCAATCAGAAAGTTTATTTGAATTTTTAGATAATGGTGCTATATTTGGTTTTTATTGTTTTTCAGTTCATAAAAATTTAGTTGTTAACAACTATTTTCTATCATCATTGACTTCATTATTTCAATTGCCACATGTTTCTATGTAGGTTCGTTTTCGGTTGGACATGGTCGTTTAAGATCGAAAATTCTCATTGTTATATCTAGAAATAAAATTGATTTTAGAAATGGTATATATTTTATCTTGTTAATTTATATGACTAATTTCATACAGTATTTCTCTCTTTAAAAGGGAATAATCCTTCGTGAAGAATATGTGTTGCAATTTGAAAAGCCATTTTTTATCTGATTATGATCTTTTTAAAAGTATCAAATTTTTTTGAATGATTTTATAAATCGTCCTGCTCTAACAATTTTCGGTATATCACAGCTTCCTACATACTTCACTGATTTTCTCTTTAATATTCGATTTAGTTTTACCCTTAATGATTGTCGATTTAACAAAGGAAAAAGTTTTTCATAAGAGTGGGATTCATCAACAATATAGTTATTATCCAAGTAGGATTCTTCCTTTTTAAAGATAAAAATAGTTTACGAAACTGTTCATATCAACTTTTTAGATATTTACTTAATCATAAAATAATTAAAGAGTGGCTTCGCAATACGAATTCATTGTTTGAATTCACACTTAATTCATTATTTCATTTTTAACGTTATAAATATGAAAGACGTTTCTAGCCGACTAGAGGAGTGAGTTTATAGTCATTTTGCAGAGCATGTTCTACTGGATTTTTTCCTCTATAAAGGCAGTTCTACAAGAACATTTATTAAAACGAAAATTTTTATTATACAAAACAAATCAGAGCTTGTAGATTACCCTTTATAGCTATTGTATTGAATGGAAGAGATCTGCTAGAACTAATGTGTGCTGTTCTTCGTAATCCAGAGTCAAAGTGAAAATCAACTCTTTCTATACTAATTTCAATATACTTTGAGGAAGTTAAGGCTTCTCCCTCAGAAATTGATCTCAGGTCAGAAACGTTCAAATGGCATGAAATTTTCAGCCCTGTATCATGACGTTTGAGGAAGATATTGACCAAATAAGAATCAAAAAATAGCTCATTTCATCTTCAAAAATTCTGTGATCTTCAGTCTGTACATTTAATTTTTGTTTTTGTTTGAAAGAGCCTGTCAGAATGCAGTGTTTATAGGAGCCTTTTTTTAAACTCTTACTTTTTAAGAGAAAAAAGATCGAAAATTCAATGACTCAAAAGAAACTCTCTAAAAATGACGTTCTAATTATATAAATGTTTGCATATATAATAAAACCAAAGCTTAATCAAACAAACGGGCTCATAGGTACTGCAATTTTACATGCTCTTTCAAACAAAGAAAACCTATTGGCTACAATGAAACTCCTTCGAGAATTCTTGGAGACGTGATCGAAAACCTATAAAACGAGAAAAAACGAAAAAGATTTTCAGTTTTTTTTCGAAAACAGTTTAGTTTTCGAATAGAAGATGATGGAAATCTTCAAAAATTTTTGGAAAAAATGGAGTGTCAAGTAAATTTTTTTGTTATTTATGAGAGATCAGATCACAGGCTATCTTCCCTTGCATTTGTCTTCATTTCAGTCATTCTGATGAAAAGTGACTTTTTTTGAGGAGGACCTTAAGTGTTCAAAATAGTCACCATTGTTATTTATACAAAGTTCCATCCTTTCTAACAGTTTGTCAAAAATTTTTTTAATTTCTTTTTCTGGAATATTCTTCACTATCTTGGAAGCCTCCTGAGCTAGTGATTCTTCGTTTGCTTGATCAGTCAAATTACTCTTAATGTAATCATTTAACCAAAAGTCACATGGTGCAAGATCTGGTGAACATGGTAGATGTGGCATTGTCTCAATACCTTCTTCTGTTAAATAATTAATAACATCCACATGAGTATGAGGGCGACCATTGTCACGAAGTAATTTGATACATTTTGTGCGTGATGATTTTTCTTGTTTTCGTATTTCATTGATAACAGATTTGAGACAATTTTCAATATAATAGTTGTGATCGATAGTCTTGCCTTTATCTATTTTATGTATAAGAACAGAACCACTTGATTTAAAGAATAAACAAAACAATGTTCTGATTTCAAATTTATTTCGATGAACAATGGTCCATGACGATGCATTTCTACTAATCCAGGTAATATTGCTTGACTTTCGACTAATCTATCTGTGGCAAATCCATATCTCATTACCAGTAATAATATCACATAATTGTCATGTTCCATTTCGAAATTTTGACGACAAACTCTAAGTCATTCTTGCTTCTGTTCGTCATTGAGTTGATGGGCAACCTAACGTGATGTAACTATTCTCATCTTTAGACAATCATGAATAATTCGTTCTATTGTATCATAAGAGAGAGAAGTCTCAGCTATGATATTATCATAATTTGAATGTAGATCATCTTCGATAATTTATCAAACGCGTTCAATATTTTCATTTGTAAGTACCGAAATCAGACGACTAGATCGAGAGTCATCTTTGACATCTTCACTGCCTTCACGACAACGTTTTACCCATCTTTGACTGTTGGATATGATGGAGCGTCAAGTTCCAATGGTTCTGTAAGTTTTTCGCAGATTATTTTTGCATCTATTCCCAAAACAGCGCGAATTTTAATCTAGTATCGATTAAATTCATTATCCATTTTAAACAACTTTCTTAACAATCGAAATGAGATTTTGTCATGTCTTTAGGTCGGATTCAATATAGAATAGAAAACACGATTCGCAAGAGCTGATTTATTTCACATGAGAAAAATCACTGATCGGACAACGAGTGGTCTCTCAATCTCTATATACACTGCCCAAATGCTTCATGTATTGCGATATAAGTAATAGTATTGTTATTTAATAACAGAAATATTTACTACGTAATAGAAATAGGAAAGGTTAAGGTCAATATCAAAAGTTTATTGATTGAAGAGAATAGAAACGAAGGTAGAGTAGTGAGATGAGAAGAAACGAGAGAAACGAACAATTCTCATACATCAAAGGAATGAAACAACACGTATATATATATGTGTGATTAGTTGGTATGAAGCCAAGAACAGAACGAAAAGAAGAAAATAGAAGACCAACCAGAAAATTACAACAGTTAGTGTCACTATACCACAAAATATCACATTCCACAACATGACGTCAGTAAATATGACATGGGAGAGAGAGATGGAAAACCGTGAAAAGTTCTAGAATACATCCGAACACTGGATAAGAGATAGTAACATGATCGTATAGTTACTATATCACAGATTTCATCTAAAAGAATGTTAAAATTAAATCCAATATTGAGTCATTATATATATATATATTATTATAGACGAGGCATTCTACTATGTATTCAAGCAATAAGACTTTCGATATTAATTATTTTATAAAATTTTATACACTGTGATCAGAAAATTTGGTTAACCCTAAGTGAATGACGAGAAAACAATATTGCCGAAGATAACTACAAACAAGTAATAGATAAAAGTGAACGACAACCAAGAGTGATAGTATTCATATATAATTATTATTTAAATTTTCATTTATTATAGCTTCAAAGCAAGATAAATATGATAATAATATACTTATCAACATCATTTTGTCATGTATATTTATACATATCAATAAAATAGAGCTAACTAAGAAGACTTGAATATAATAATGATTCTCATTTCAATTTTGATATAATGTTTTGAATATTTAATTGCTTAATTTTCAAATAAATAGATTTGACTTTCAGTAATTTTGCATTAGTAGGTTCCTTTATGCCATTGTATGTTATATTTTAGTGGAAATCTATTTGAATTAATATTCGATTATAGAAAAGATTGTTTTACATGGAAATCTAATACAAGAATATTTGAAATAGATATTTGTTTGCTGTGAATAGACAAAAATAGTTTTTATTAAAATTATAAACGTTAAAGTTTAGATGTTGTTAACATGAAATTAAAAACTCTAGGTTTGTCAACTTTTATAGAAGATGGGATCGTGCAAAACAAAATGGCATACTGGTGCCGATAATAAGGTCACGACCTATGTGCATTTTCTATCGGCTCATTAATGTGAAAGCATTCGGCCACTATGCTGGCTAGACGTTCTGACCTGATGGCCGATAGTAACTGCCGATTCACTCTGTCTTCTATTTATCCATTCTTCTATTTTTACTTCTTACTTCTTTCTCCTCCTTGTTCTCTCTTTCTCTCGTATATAAGTTCATGTTCTATGCGAAGCGGAGAAAACTGGAGTGATGAAGTAGTATAGTAAACATCGCACATTGAGGATAGCGGTAACGCTATTCCTCCAGTTTCTCAAGATTGATCGACAATAAAATAGATACTGCAATAGTAACGAAACAATCTATCCCTCATTTTCGTTATAATACTATCATTTGGTTACTCTTAATTGTGATCAGAGCTCAATGTGTGTGTATGTGGATAGGTATGAGTCTTCTCTTCACTAATCCATAGCCACACTCCGTTTGAGTATGTTGAAAGAATAAAGATAAATGTCAAAAGACTTGATAGAAAATGTTCAGTAATCTAAGAAGTTGTTTCAATTATTTATTTTCCCTTTGATATTCTCGTAAATCTTCAATGTTGATTTCATTTCTTTTCGATGCAAATAAAAATTGTGTGTTTTTTTAGCAATAAGATATCAGTTAGCAATAACATCAAATAGCTACTAGAACTTCTTTTTTTATTTCAAGAAAACGGAAAAAAGAATTCAAATAATTGATATTATTTATCAAGGTGAAAGTATTCTATTCAAGTGTGTATTTAAAATTTAGGTTGACAGCATAATTTATTTTCTTTAATGGCTGCAATATCATTTTGTTTTTATCTTATAATGTTAATTTTACAAATAGAAAAAAAACCATATATGATTGCGATTTTATCAAATGCTAATTTCTTTAAAATCTTTCTTTTCTGATTTATTTATATGCAGTAAACTTGGCGTCAGTAACACAATGAAGGACAAAGTCCTCTATTATAAAAAAAAAACACTTGAAATCTTTTTTTATTAATATATCACATATTGTGTATATGCTGTTACACAACCATTTCATCCATATGATACAACTAATCTTGACTAATGATTGGCGTAGGGTCTTTTTTCTTTCGTTCTTCCTTTCTTTCTATTTATTCTACGTCAGCAAACGAAGCAACTGCCTTTGCACTATGTGTAACCCTGCACGTGTCTTCTCGTGTATCTGCCCGACGCACTATTTATTATTATTCAGTTGAATGTGTAGTCTCTTTTTTTCTCATTCGTTCCTTTTTTTATCATAGAGAGAGAGAGGGAGAGAAAGAGAAAGAAAAAGAGAGAGAAAAAGAGATCAGAGAGTGATATATATAGACGAGCAACAATACTATGTCCTTCATTTTACATACTAAAGCAACTCTCGTCATTCTCTTTTCTTACAAACGCTAAACAAAAATAACAATCATGGAAAACATTAAACAAGCTGGTCAAGCTGCTGTAGAAAAAGTGAAAGGTAAGAAAAAATATATTTCTATATTTATCAATAAATATATAAATAATTTTGTTTTTAGAAGTATCAAGCGGTGCTTCATATGAAGCAAATAAAGAAGCAGCTAAAAATGATAATTTATCAGCAAGTAGTCGAATTAGTCATGGTGTTAATGCCGTAGGAGATAAAAGTATTTGTATATTTATTTAAAATAAAATAAACTAATATAAAATTTAATTTAGTCGACGAAAAGTCTCATGAAGCAAAGAAAGAAGGACATAAAGAAATTGCCGAAGAAAAAGGTGTCATTGGTCAAATTGGTGATACCATCTCGAATGCTTATCATTATGTTGCTGAAAAAGTTTCTGGTTTGTATTATTTTTATTTCTATACAATGACTAAAAATACATTTTTTTTTTGTTTTTTATTGTAGAAGTAACTAGTGGAGCATCGTATGAAGCTAATAAGGAAAAAGTAAAAGATTCGGATAATACAGTCGGTGAACGTGTTGGAGCTGGTTTTTCAGCTGTTGGCGACAAAATTGAAGAAAAGGCTCATAAAGCTAAAGCTGAAGCACACAAAGAATCTTTGTAAATAATATATCCTTGAACTTATAATATCTATATCTCAGATATATATACACACACATGTAATTCTGTTTGTTCTTGCAACTTTTGTTTTCTTAATATTCCAGCGTATTTATTCATATAAATAAATAAAATCTAACCTAAAAAGAAAACAGAACAAATAAAATATTTTTTTTTAATGCATACATTCTTGAATATGAAGTAAAGAGTATGAAGATTGAAATCACGTGGATTATGTCGTAATGAGACATGTGATCAACTTTAACAGAAGAACGAAATAAAACTTTTTACTTATTCACATCTGTGCAGAGAGCAAAAAATAGAAATTAAACAATATAAAATTAGCATTCCAAAGAAAAAGAAAAACATATTTTTAGATCAATGTTTTTTAGAAATAATGTAAAATGATTTTTTTATGTTATCGATGTGGGTCAAACAAGTAAATTAGTTGGATGAGTCAGATTTGTTTGATAAAAAGTACAAAAGACAACGTATTTTATTGAGTACAAGGATGATGTAAACTTATATGTGTAATATATGAATCATATTGTTATCGTATCGAGTAAAATGAAGGTTGACGACAAAGCTAAAAATTCTGGATGTTTATTCATCAGTCACGCGGTTCGTCGAACGTTTTTTTTTTTTCTTCTGCTTACCATAGTAGTACGACAGGATCTATTATTGTAAAAATGACCTTGAAGGTTTTTTATGAATGGTCAATGTAAAGAAGATTAATTTGATAGTTTGCCTTAATATAATGACACTGCACGTTAAACAATTGAATTATTACTCAATAGAGTCATATGTAACAGATGAATTATAAGTAATATTTATTTGTCCTTGAGATCTCAAGGCATTTTTAACATTTTTATGATAATATTTTTTTTTCATTCAAAATTGATTATTAAATTCTTTAATCAATAATCAATTTTTTTTCATTTTTAAAACTGAATATAATTTTCACGAATTATTATGTACCATTTTCATGATTTTTATATGCATCTACGATGAAGTCTTGTTCAAATAAGTTTCTCAGACAATTGGAATAAAATTTATTTGAAATTATAAATTAAGAATATATCATTATAGTTATTATACATATAGATTTATTTAAAGAACAGTATGGAAACAATTGAAAACTATTAAAAATAACTCTATTTATGAATTTATAAACAGAATATATTATCAAAATATAATTTCAAAGTAAATATTTAATGAAAAAGATAAACTGAAAACAATGAAAAAACAAAAACGAAAGTTTATCAGACGTCAATGAAAAACAAATAGACGATAACATTATTTATAATTAATTTTATCAAATTGCACAGATGGATATGATCCAAAAAAAAAATCATGAAAATTTAAATCAAATCAATATAAATTTCGGGACAAATCTGCAGAATATATTAAATATTCAGATCTTATTCATAGTGTTATTGATATTGCGGAAAAAAACTATTATTAATCTGACAAAAGATGTTTAATTCATGTCTTCGAATCATTTATATGAAAAAAATTCTAGAAAGCCTTTATTACTTTAAGTTGATAAATTTTTTTTTTACTAAATTTATTTTATTAGAACTAATATTTCACAAGCACATGCAATTAAAAAGAATGAGAGTGCTGGACGGTTGTTAATTGTAAGTATAAAAGCAAAGCAATTATCTGAATAGAGTAATGATTATACTCGATGCCAATAAAGCATACGTCCTACAGTACCATATGGTTGAATTTCAACTGGTAAAAGTTCTTCGATATCTTCTTGTTCTTGTTCTTTTTTTTTGATTTCAATTGACTTTTCTGGTTGTTTTATTTGATTAACACGAAAAGGTTTTGTTTCTTCTTTAATATTACTTTTTGGAGATTCATTTAAATTAGATTTTTTCTTTTTCTTTTTTAATTTTATTGGTGAAATTTTTTCATTTATCGTACTATTTGTACTTGTTGAATCATCATTAACTGATAAATGATAAGATAATGGTTGTTGACTTGAAATAGAATTTTGTCTTGATTTTAAACTAAGACATTCATTTATTAATCTACGAGTTGAATCAAGAATAGATGGATTTTTATCAAGATAAATTTCTTCGAGTTTTACTGGATATTTTGTAAATAGAGAAAGTAATAATTGTCCAGCAAATTCTGTTAAATTACAACATTCTAAATCTAGATAAGTTAATGTTCGACTAATGAAAATAAAAATAAAAATAATATAAACTTAAATTTTCAAAAACTACCTTGATGCAATAAGCATAGTAAGCATTGCTAGAATTGTATTATCAAATATATTATAATCAAATGCTAATCGACGAATTCGAGAACTAAAAGCAATTGAAAAAAAAAGTTCTGCCCAACCAGCATTTGTAATCAATCGATTAGCACTTAAAATTAATTCTTCTAAACCTAAATAAGGAATAGAGTAATAACATTCTCTTTTTTTTGTCTTTATTTAAAATTTGAAAAAAAAACCTGTTTTATTTTCATCAGGAATAATTAATGAGCATATATTAGCGATCGATTTATTTGTTAATTTATTATCTCCAACATCTAATAAAGTTAATTTTGAACAATTTTCATGTAAAATTGAATAAAGTTTAGAAAACATATCATCGTCTATATCATTACCATGAACTCTATTAAGACAACGTATTTTTTTTATCTAGAAAAATTTCTTTTAATATTACCGTAAATTAATAAGATTTGAACAATTTGATAGCATTTGAACAAATTTTTTAAAACGTGTTTTTTCATTGATCATTTGAATATTAAAAATAAGTGAAACCATTGATTCACCATTCTTTGATAAACTTTTCATTAATTCATCAAAGTCACTACATAAATAAAGTATAATATAAAAAAACAAATAAGTATTCAGAAAACAAAAAAAAAGAAAAAAAAATATCTTTATTACGAATCTGTGATTGTACATCGACGAAATTCTAATGATTTACAAGTATTAGAATCAATTAATTTACAGATATTTATTATATGTTCATGTTTAATATTTTCTTCAACAAAAATCGTTTGCATGTTTATTAGAATATGATATAATCAGTTGAATTTCTGTCAATCGAATTGTTTTGTTTTATTATGAGCAAAGAAAAAATTTTTGACAGACAAATGCAACTGGCGCTGTTAAATTTTAACGATTGGTCAAGTATATGACTCATTCTTCTTATTATTTTTTTCTCTTTGTATATAATATCATTGAACTTCATTTCTTTCAAAGAAAAAAATCATGGTTACAATGAACAATTTTATTAACAAATGAAAGTAAAGACAGTAAATTTTGTTACCATTGTCAATATACATACAAAAATTTCAATTAATAAATTTGATTATTTTTTTTTTCTAAGGTCCACTGTTGTACACATATTAAAGTAACAATGAATGCAATAAAAAGCAATCATGATCTATTAAAATGTGCACAAAATATAATCATTATACCTAGTGATGATAAAAGTTCAAATGTTTATGAAGAAAAAATGTAGCAGTTGGAAATTTCCTTGTACAATATTATACAAATAGGAAAATTTGTTGCTGATATTTATGCTGACATGAATTCTAAGAAATAATTTTCTTTATTCTTGAAAAGTTCACAAGTTTTTCAAGCTCATAAAATTATTATAAAAATTGCAACTATTATAGCTTATCCTGAATATCTCAAAGAAAATAATAATGTAAGTAAAAATAATTAAAAATAAAGTTGAATTTTGATTAATATTTTCTTAAAGATTGGTGATCAATGAATTTATTATTACGAATTAAAAATTGATGATAGTCAATATCAGATATTAACTAGTCAACAGCTAAGAACAACATTTGTATTAGAAATAGTTGAAACGCTTGATGGTTTATCAAAAGCCAAATAACTTCGAGAAGATATACTTTTTTAAAAAATAAATAAATATTGCTTTGTTTTTTAATTATACATACTCAAGCATTTATAATTTTTAAGAAAAATTTAACAATATAATTTATTTTTCTAGATGACAAAAAAAACACTTGTTTTTATTGCTAATGGTAGCGAAGAAATCGAAGCAGTAACAACAATAGATGGTTTGTATTAAACAATTTTGATTGTTAAATTTTAATAATGATAATTTTTCTTTCCTAGTTCTACGAAGAGCTGAAATTGAAGTTGATGTTGTTTCAATTGAAAAGAATGGTCATGAATCTGTAAAATGTAGTCGAAATGTTCGTATTTTACCGGATAAATCAATTGATGATATTAAAAATAATCAATATGATTGTGTTGTTATACCTGGTGGTAATGATGGTTAGTAAAATCATTTTGTAATATGATTTAAGTAATTTTTCTAAACAAAAAACTTTAATCCATAGTTCTATGAATATATCATTAGAAATGACTTAATAAAGTAAATTTTTCTTTTACATATTTTTTTTTCTAAATTTCATTTGTATATTAATAAAACAAATTGTTTTCAAAGAGAAAGAATTTTTCTTTTTCTTGTAATAATAATATCTTAATCATATAAGTTTATTTATAATATAGGATCAAAAGCAATGGCAGCAAATGCTGAAGTTGGACAAATTCTAACAAAACATTATCAAGATGGTAAAATAGTTGCTGCTATTTGTGCTGGACCACGAGCATTATTATCACATAAAATTGGTATCGATCATAAACATACTATAACATGTTATCCAACTGTACGTAAAGAATTTACTGATGGTGAACCATATAAATTAGATACACCTGATCATGCCGTTTGTCATAGCACGCATACAATAAAAGGTAAAAAGAATATGACACTTCTTTATTGTATTACATTAGTGGATAAAAGTCTCCGCTCTAGCCGATATCGGCCACTGTATGTGTAATTACATAGTGAGTTTTTGCGCTGTTTCTTATTAAAAATATGAGTAATTCTTGATATTTTTACATGTAATTGAAAATAACAAGATTTATCATCTATGTTCCATTTCTTATTAGTGCAAGATTCACTTCTGAAACTTGCGAATAATAATGTCTAACTGTAGAGGAAGTTTCTCAAAAAGTTTGAACTCGTTTCATTGTACTCTCACTGAATTATCGACCTTCAAAAGGCAGTAGATGGTTTCTCCTTACAATAATGATTACAGTAAAATGCGTATAATCTTTGAAAGGATTGATGAACTTCAATGAAATTAGTAATGTAAATACCTGAGACATAACATTTTATATTGAGGAGTCAACTGGCACACAATACTCTTTCTTTTCGAGATTATGCGGTTGACAACAAAAATAGATGCTATCAGTCGTAATTCTCTTTATAATTAAGCGATAACGGCGCTACAATGTCAATGCTCTAAATTCTTGTTGAAGTGCATCAATACAAATTTCCAAGCCTCCAATACATAGGGTGGCCGAGATCGGCTGAGGCGGAAACTTTCATTCACTGGTGTATATGTATAGAGAGAAATTTAGTTTTTTTTTTGTTATATTTTAAGGTGCTGAAGAAAAAGAACATCATTTGGTTACAAGTCAAGGGCCTGGTACATCTATGGTTTTTGCATTGAAACTTATTGAACTTCTGAAAGGCAAAGATGAAGCAACGAAAGTTAAAGATGGATTACTCGTTTAAAATTTAATTTATAAAATAAACATTATTTATATTCGATTTTAGTTTAATGCTGTAGTTTTCTAAGTTGAACTTATTCTTATTCTTATTATTAAATTAAATCAGCTTTAAAAACTTAATTATTTATTAAACTTTTCAGATGTCTATTCATCGTACATCTATCGATTCATCAATATCAATGGCTACTACGAATGAATTATCAAATGGAAATGTAACAAACAAGAATAACAAAAATATTTTCGTTATTTATATAAAATATTATTCATTTTTTTTTGTTTATAGAAAATACAAACATCAGATGTGAATTTATCTATGGAATATGAAACACCAGCTATGGATAGTTTGCCAATGGATGATGATGATGATGATGATGACGATGAAGAAGTAAATTTATTAAAAAAACTAAAATAAAATGAATAATTATTTTTTTTTTTTTGTTAGTATGAAAGTGATGGGGAAGAACAAGAAATAGCATATAATCCTGCTTGTCATATATGTGGTCTTTCATCATATACATATCAATGTCAAGGCAAATGTCGATATTATTTTCATCGTGAATGTGCTGGTATTTTTGATGAACAACAAACTTTAATTTGTTCCGAATGTTCAGCAAGTATGATTTATTTGAAAAAATAAATTTCATGTTTTTTTTTTCTGTTCTTTTTTTCTTTTAATTTAAGATCGTTTAATATGTAGTTTATGTCAACAATTAATTATTGATAATGAATTAAAATGTGGATTTAATCAATGTAATCGAATATATCATTCATCATGTTTAATGAATTCGAATTTAACTACAACTTTACCATCGGGTGTATATTATTGTCCTCTTCATGTTTGTGCAACTTGTCATTTACATAAACGACCTAACGATAATATAGGTATTTTTATGTATTATATTTCATATTAAAAGTGAAAATCAATATTTCAGGTTTATGTACATTTAAGAATTGAAATTGGATTTAACTGTGACTAGACATAGAAGGACATTTTTTTTTTTGAGATAAATTCTTTTCTTTATACAACACAACTATCATGAATATTGACAAAAAAATTTATTGAGAATGATATACTAGATCATTAAATTCATTGCTTCATTCTTGACTGGAGTATAAATAGAATCGAACAATCGTTTATATTTGAAGATTTGATTTACCTGAAAAATAAATCTTCTATGTAAATCTATTAAAAATTTAACATATCTGTTAAATCTGAGTATAATCACATATTCTCGGAAATTTATTCAAATATCATAATCAGAAGATCAGAATCTATTGGATTCTGCCTGTAGTAATAAAAAAAAGCACGGCAGAATTTTCCGATTGATAAGAATATAAGACAAATAATCGTATGTTTATTAACACTTTATGAAGAATCAAAGATAGTTAAGCTTTCTTGTTCAAAAATACATTGATATTTTCTCATATTTCAAGCTTCTTTTAGTTTTTCGCTAGAGTTCATTTTTTTTTTGTCTGAGAACACCATTACAAACTACTGACAAATTTTTCATCTCCTTGATCGTAATCCACCGATGATTGGTATGTAAACGTACTTAGAAACTTATATCTCTAAGAATTTTTTCTCATGCATAAGAATCATATTCAAGATTATAGATAATCTCAACTTTAGTTGAAAGTAAAAAATGTCGGCGGAGATTTTTTTTAATGAAAATATATAGAAAGATGAGCAGTTTAAATTGAATCAAATTTATTTATTCGAAAAAAAGAATGAATGAAAGACAATTAAAAAAGTTCACGATAAATAAGTTGATCGACATTAATTAAGTTTCGTGCTAGATTATAGTTTTTTTTTGCCGCAAGCAAAGACAAACTAATAAGAATGTGAATAGATGTGGGTGTAAGCCGGAAGAAGATAAGATCTAGATACTTATTTCCATACCTACAAGAACATAATCCAACGTTAATTATGTGCTAATGATATCTTGATGAATAATATTTTTTTCGAACGGATATCTTTCGCTAGTTCTAATTTTTAACTCAAATTTTTCAATATTTTTAGTTTTCGATATATTTATCTTTCGATTAAAGTTTAGAGAATCAAGATTATAATTAAATTCATATCACTCCTTTTTTTTTATTTCGTCTTATTCTCATTGTAGCATGTACCCTAATTGAGAGAAATTTTCTAACATCTATCGTACCTTGCAGAATAGGATAGGATAATTTTGCATATCTATAATCAATAATTTATTTATATAAAAATTTTCTATTGCTTAAATATTATTTTCTAGGTCATCTGTTTACATGTTTGTATTGCCCAACAGCTTATCATGGTCATGAACGTTGTCTACCAGCTGGTTCTCTATCCATATCATATTCATCATCACTTTGTTGTCCAGTTCATCTTCCAATTGAACGAAAACCAGTACGTCCAGGTGTTGCTCCATATTGTTACATATGTGAGCAATCAACTCGAACAACTGAATGTTTTGTTTGTATTGAATGTCCAACAACAATTCATCAATCATGTTTACCAACTAAAAATGATGAAAAATCAACAAATTGGAAATGTGATTCTTGTTTAAGTAATTTAAAACCGTTATATGGTGATATATGTTGGATCAAAATGGGAAAATTTCGGTATTACAAAAAAAAAAGAATTTTGATGAATGAAAAGGACAAGAAAAACTACATATTTTGTTTTAGATGTTGGCCAAGTCGAATATTACATGAACGTCATGCACCAGATAATTTACTTGCACAAGAACGTACAGTTGGAGAATTTCTTGTACATTTTTTTGGTTCAAAAGAATTTTTTTGGGCTAATAAACATCATTATTTAGCATTTGAAAATCGTTGTATTAAATCAAAAGATTCACGTGATTTTTATAATGCTGAACAAAGTTTTAAAGATGGTAAATTTTTTTTTTCTGAAAAATCAAAAGAAACGAAAAAATAATAAGGAAATTTTATTCTATTTTTGTTTTAAATTTCTTAGGTCTTCGCGAAGCTAAACGTCTTTATAATCGTTTAAAACAATTTTATGCAACAAATTCAGTTGAAAATTATGGTGAAGCAACTAAACTTGAAGAAATGACGTTAGATGATGCATATGATGAATTTGAAGATGATGATGATGATGATGAAAGCGATGATGAATCTGTAGATATGAATTCTGATGAATCAATTACAAATGATCATGAAAAAATTTCAACAATTAATGGACGTTCAAAATTAATTGATAAAAGTGCTAATAAAAGTGGACAAATGCCTGCTTATAGACATATTAAAGTAGAAAATGAAATTTTAATATATATTTTATTTATTATTTTATTTTTAAGACATTAAAACCAGTAGGTGAAGCTCAAATTCTTCGTTTACCATTAGCAGAATTATCTCGTTGTGATTGTGATCCAAATAAACCAGATCCATGTAGTTCCGATGAACATTGTCTTAATCGAATGCTTAAATATGAATGTCATCCACATGTTTGTGCTGCCGGTTAGTTATAGAATAGGATTTTCTTTTTACAAAATTTATCAATAAGATTTGTTTTTTTGTCTTAAACTAAGATCAAAAATACTTTTAGTTCTGATTATCTATTTATAAAATTATAGACTTGAATTATATGAAATATGATTATATGTTAACATAATAAAGTAGTGCATTACTTTCATGTTTGAATTCATCTATTTGTTTTTTTCTTTGTGTAAAGCTTTAATTTTGTCGCAATTTGTGTTTGCACCTTGTTGAACTCTACTGTAGATGACATGATGAATAATTAGTAATAAGTGAATTAATATTCTACTGATGTTGTTTTGTTTCTATTGTTTGATTAATGTTCTCATTAATTTTAAACAAATACATATATACAAGTCGAATAGATATATTTCATAACAATCAATTAATCAGAAATTTCACATTAAATTTTTATTGTAATAATATAATACAAAAGAAAGATTGATGAAATAATGAATAGATGAAAAAAAAAAAGATAAATTGTTATCCAGTAAATATATTTATAAGATTCTAAACTGTATTATTTATTAGTACAGTATAGCTTATTCTCAGAAAACTTTTGAACTTTGTACGAACAAAAAGATATCTAGGGTAATTCTTTTTCTTAAAAAGGACACTTGTCAATCGTCATTAATTTGTCACTGTAAGCTTAATTTACTCATATATGGCTCCAAACAAAAAAAAACCTATTAATACCTTTTTTTTCCAATTTACTGTTGTAAGGTGTAATGTAAGGTTAAAAAAACTGACAGCAAATTCAATAGTACAAACATCTATATTATTAAAGTTAACAAGAATCTTTTACAAGACATATACAAATATTCTTGCAGAATATTTTCAACGTCTAGAAATATGAAACTAAAGCAGTTTCAAATCTTAATAACTAATAATTCTTTTTCTAAATTATATGAGATTATATTAATTAAAATGAAAATATGGTCAAATTGCGTCAATCTTGGAATATAGAAAAAGAATATAATACCAGCTTTAATGATTTACATTATATATAGTGTCAAGTCTGTTAAAGTCATCTCTTTTAATAATTCTAGTATATTCTGAAATATAACTTAAAGGGTAATGTTTAGAATAGAAGAGAGTATGAGTTTGTTTTTTCTGCTTGTTAAAATAAATGTTTGAAAATTACATTTGATTATATATAATTTTCTTTTTTCCTTTTTTCTTTTAATTTAGGTGACAAATGTAAAAATCAGGTAGATATTTATTTTAAACATTTTATTAAATTAAAATTTTATTGTTTATTTTACTTTTTAATATTTAGCGCTTTCAAAAACGTAAGTTAATTTATTAATTTAATTTATTTTTATTTATCATTGTTGTCTTTGTTTTTTTCTTCTAGGTAATTATCCTGCTCAACAAGTGTTTTGGACAGCTGGTCGCGGTTGGGGTTTGAGAACATTAGTAAAAATAAAAGAAGTAAAAAAATATTAAAGAAATTTTTAATTAATCTACTTATATATATATATATATTAAATCAAGGGCGAATTTGTCAATGAATATGTTGGTGAACTAATAACATATGAAGAAACTGAACGACGTGTTAAATTAGCTCGTAAAAATAATGTCAAAGATTTTTATTTCCTTGTTCTTGATAAAGATCGGTAAATGAAATAAAAAATAGTATTTCAAAAACAAAAAAGAATTTCAATACTCTACTAAATTAAATTTCATAGTGTAATTGATGCTGGACCACGTGGAAATTTATCACGTTTCGCAAATCATAGTTGTGATCCAAATTTACGTACAGAAAAATGGAATATTAGCGGTGATCTACGTGTTGGTTTATTTGCTATACGTGATATTGAAGCCGGTAAATATATACTTCGTCAGACAATAATGATAAAATATTAAGAAAAATATATATATATTAATTTTTAGGCGAAGAATTAACGTTTGAATATGGTGTTGAATCAGAATTTCGTGGTGATACAATATTTCATTGCCTTTGTGGAGCTGAGACATGTACTGGTTTTATGGGTCGATCAAAAAGACTTGGCGGAGTAAATTCATAATGACTTTATATTCTTAATGTGAAAAATTTTCTCTTAGGTTCCATCATTAACTGATACAACATTATCGTTAACATCTGGTTCAAATGGAGTTTCAAATGGTCGTCATAGTAATAAACATCGTATACGTACATCAAATATAACTGGTGAACAAGATGCTGATACATGTTTTGGTTGTGGTCTAACAGGTCAATTAATAGCATGCCAAATGTCGAAATGTTCAAGAAAATTTCATCCAAAATGTATTAAAGTTAAAGGACAATCATTTCGACATCGTTCTCCAACTCGTAAATAAATTCTCAAAACCAAAAAACAATTTTTTTTATAATTTTATTCCTTTTTTTAGAACGTTGGATATGTCCATCACATCGTTGTGATATATGTGGTATTGATGCAAGTATAGCATGTGCTGATTGTTTAAGTTCATTTTGTGCTGAACATCGGACAGAAAATATGCGTGGCATATATTGTTTACTTCATGGACATGAATAAATTTAATTCTTGTCGAATTTATTTCTTTTTTCTTTTTTTTTGTTTCTGTATGATCATTTATATATGTCAGATGGTTGGTTTATTTTTTTTTGTCTGTCTCATTGTCTCTCTTGATTGTATTTATATGAATAGACTTGAAGAATGAATAAAAATAGTTAAAATACGTTTGACAATTATCAATCATTAAAAGAATTTCCGCTCAATCATAATATGTAATTCTAGTCGTATAGATCATTCGTTATTATTACAAATGAATGCACATGAATGAAAATGTCTTAGAAGAATTTTTTTTCATATAGCCAACAATAATTTAGTGTTTTCTGTAATAATATACGTAGCAAAAAGAACACAAGATGAATTTCATATTCTTTTGTAAAGTGAGTGTAACAATGTGAAATAGAATTTCATGAAGATTTTCTACTTTAATTATTTTTTTGTTTTTTTGTTAAATTTTCCGTTAAAAAAAAATATTTTAACAGCTTTTTTTTTCTTCTTCCTCGTCTTTTTTTTTGCTTTGATTTAATAATACTTGTCTTTTGGATAATTTTTTTGTTAACGGTTGTTGAATTCAGTGTAATAATCATGAACAAAAACAAAAAAAAAAAGAGAAAAGAAAATAGACACATAAAATTGAGAAGAAAAACGTGTTGATGACAATGTTTTCCCACTCAAACTTAAGCTCAATCTATTACGCATGTATGATGCTTTTCTATGGTTTTCTCTTTATCTTATTCTCTTTCTTTTTCATCGACATGATTCTTCCGTCTTTCTATCATATTATCGTTGCTTTTCAAAACATTATGAGGAGTTCCGTTCTTACCTATGTGTGAATAATGCCTTCAAAGTATATACTAGTAGCATTAAATTAAAAAGACGACACCCACAACATTCTGCTGACAGCATTCTTAACAATATTAAAATAAAAGAAAGAAATCCAAGAAGACGACAAGAAAAGAAATATTCTTGTAACGCATTTTTTGAATCGATATTATTTTCATTTCTACAAATATGGCACTTCAATCGACAATAAATCTTCAAAATGTGAACAATAACAATAATAATGGTGATGATGAGGATAATCATCATCACCATCATCATCATCATCATCATCATGAGTATGATGAAGAAATCGATGAAACAGAAGATGATCTTATTGAAAATTATCGTTTTCTAACACAACGTTGTGGTGTTCTACGACAATCTCCAACAACGAATATAATAAATACAATACAACAGCAACAACAAAAACAAATGAATCAATCTTCATTTTTTCGTCATCATTCAGTAATAAACGAAAATCATAATAATAGTAATAATGAAGATAAACGTTCATCTTCTTCGACTAAACAATGGTACTCACCATTAAATGATTTAAATAATAATAATCAGAATTATTCGACAACAATTAGTCGTATACCTCCAACGATTTATTATGATGATACAGAAGATTCTGAATTTAATGGTAATCATTCATTTTCATTAATTAAACTGTTTGCACGTATGAAAGCACGTTTAAAACATGATAAACGTTATCGTCCTAAACCTACACATGAATTACTTCCTGAAGAAGATCCTCAAGAATGGCATGAATTAACACAAAATGTTCGAACTATTGTAACAAAAGCTCTTTTACCTGATGGAGGATATGATGTATTAACAAATCGTACGAAAAAAATTCATAGTAGACGAGGTTCATGTAGAAAATCTCGTGAATTTCATCCTGTTCTACCAAAAGATAATAATAATGATGATGATGATGATAAAATTAATATTGAAATAGATGATGAATTCAATACAGAAGATAATAAAGAATATGATCAAATTATATGGAATAAATTTTTGACTTGTTCAAGAGGATTTAATTATAGACGATGTGGAGTTTGTAAAACTGTTGATCGACAGCAATTTCAAGGACAATTGGTGTATTTTTATGGTGTTGCAAATAATATTTTAATTGATGAAAATTTAAAAGCATCTGGACTGGGTTAGATCATTTGCTTTTCCTTTTTTTTCTTTTTTGTTTTATTTATTTGTATATAAAATCTTTCTTTCTTTTTTATTATTATTCATATTCATACAAACAATAAACGAGTGAAATAAACAGAGAATCTTAAGAAAAGAATATATATATATAAGATTGGTTACACGATTTACTTTCCACGGAATTATTTTCCGTTGATTGTTTTCAGTGTTAATTGAATTTTTTTTCACAAAAATTTATCAATTTTGATTCTGAGGATTTACTTTCTGTTGATTGCATAAAAATAATTTACCAATTAAGGATGTCTTCGTATGAGGATTTACTTTCCGTTAGTTAGTTTGACGAAATAAAATGAGTATATCGCTCATATGAGCGATATACTCATTTTATTTCGTCAAACCAATGTAACGGAAAGTAGATCCTCGTACGAAGACATCTTTAATTGGTAAATTATTTTTATGCAATCAACAGAAAGTAAATCCTCAGAATCAAAATTGATAAATTTTTGTGAAAAAAAAATTCAATTAACACTGAAAACAATCAACGGAAAATAATTCTGTTGAAAGTAAATCGTGGTCCCCATATAAGATAATGACATCAATTAAATATTTATTGAATAATGTATGTTTGATTAATAATTGTTTATGATAATAGAAACCTATCGTCTTCCTTCCATTTATAGATTTTATAAGAAAAAGAAATAATGATAAAATAATTGTCGACAGAAATAACTTATGTCTAATTGAACATGAAATAATTGTTTCTCAGGAGAACTGAAGTACAATAAGTCATCAATTGAAAGTACTCATTTTTGTTTTTATTTTATAATCAAAATTGGATGCCATGATTTTTTTTCTTTTCGATTTTTCATTACAAGGAAAAAACTACAACTAACATTGAATATTTTTCTTCAATAATAGAAAGATCATTGCTATTAGATAATTTCTATTAAGCTTTTCATCGGCAATCTATAGTGACTTTCTTTGACAAAATAAAATGTGATTACATTTGAAACTTATTCAATTACTCAAATTTCTGTTATTCATAGAATAGCATATTTTAATATCAATCGACATATTTTCCTATTTATGAAATCATATTTTTTAAAGGTCAAATAAACACAGTGATATGTTTTGTTTTATAGTTGTATTTAGTTTTATGCTTTGAATAATACTTGGACAAACTTTCTCATCAATCTTTTTAAGTTATATATATTATTGACTTGATTTAATTATAAATGTAACAGTTAGCTTATTGCGTAGATTATATTCAACATCACGTTCTTTGTCAATTCATATAATCTAAAAGTCATTTATTTCTATCAGTCTTTAAATCAATATTTTAAAGTCTCATATTCTTTTTTTTTCTGTTTTATTCAGAATTAATTTTACAATGAAATTCTATTGATATATTTAAATAATACTTACGAAAAGAACAAATTTACTTTTTCAAATATCATATAACAATATTTTTTTGTCGCTTGTTTTTTTTTTTGAATTTTTACACACACATATATGCATGAGTAATTAAACAAGAGATTTATAAATAATAAATTTTAAGAATGAAATTTTTTTATCTTTTCGATTTGTGAACATACCCATGTGGTCAAAACCGGTAAAAAACCGCCGGTTAACCGGCGGTATACCGATCGTATAACTGAGTGGAATACCGCCGATTAACCGGCGGTTTTTTCCGGTTACCGCCGGTTAACCGCGGTTATCCGGCAGTTTCTTCAATTGATCCGGTTTCTAATATTGGCTGTCTGATTCCTTAATTCTTTCATAGCACAATTAGTTCTTTTGCAATATTTGATTATTTTTTTGCACTTTATTTTTAAAAAAATTAAAAAAAAATACTAAACAAACAATATTAGCCTACAGACATAACAAAAAGAGCTCATATTTGATCGGAAAATCTAGTAAGTCGTGGTATCTGGTAAAAATACTTGATAGCTAGGAATTCAAAACTATTGAATTCTATTAATAGGAATCAACAAATTATATGGATTTCTGTTGAATATTTCGTGAATGGTTTTTATTGCCCATGTAAAAAAAGACTGGAAAAATGAGATTATTAATCGATTATAATGGCACTATTATAACCTGATTTTAATCAGATTTTTCTATATAACAAAATCAAAATTTTCGGATTTTGATTTTTTTTAATCTTTTTTAACTGTTTTTTTAAAATTCATTATAATCGATTACGAAAAAATCAAAATCCGAACATTTTGATTTTTTTATATAGAAAAATCCGATTAAAATCAAGTTATAATAGTGCCATTATGATTGATTGATAATCTGATTTTCCTAAATATTTTTACATGAGCATTTACATATGCTTTTTATTTAATTTAGTCTTTCTGGTTTTTAAGAGAAAATTGAAATAAGTACAAGTTACTATCAGGATTTCTTTACTTATTCAAAAGTTAGAATAAAATTTGTAAATCGAAACTTTTTCCTAAATTATAAGTTGTCACTGTTAGATAGATCAACATGAATAGTAATATGAACCACTTTGATTTAATATCGGATGCTTCTTCAGGAATCCAACTTTTAATTTTAAAACACAAGAAAAAACTCTAAATATTTAAGTTAAATTATCTCGAGGTTCGAAGATGATATATTTTAAATTGTTTTTGCGCGATTCAGAATTATATTAGATTCCTGAAGAAACACCAGATATTGAATCAAAATGGTTCATATTACTATTCATATTGATCTTTCTTCCAATGACAATTTATAATTTAGGAAAAAGTTTCGATTTGAAAATTTTATTCTAACTTTTGAATAAGTAAAGAAATTCTGATGCTAACTTAGTGTACTCATTTCAATTTTCTCGTAAAAAAAAGAAAGACTATATTAAATAAAAAAACATCCATGAGAATGATAAAAACCATTTACGAAAAATCCAATAGAAATCTATATAATTTGTTGATTCCTATTATTGGAATTTAATACAGTGCACCTCAATTGGTTTTCCCCCTTTTGTTTTCATCACTAGACTTCTTTTATATTTTAACTTCCTATAGATAGGAAGAAAGCCCAAAACGCGCTGCATCTTTCGGTATATTTATGTTGAACAACAAATGTAGCTTGAAGGTTAAAAAAGTGTATTAGAAAAAATGCAACATTTTTTTTACTACAATACGGAGTGCTCGTAATATTGTAACATTTTTCATTTTGCATATATCTCGGCTTAGACAAATGATAAAATCTTGAATTTTTTCCAAAAGATGCGCCATGAAAAGCTCTATCAAGACAGCATGACTGGATTCCTTTGTACCTGTTCTAATGGTTTTTCTTATATTCAAAATGAACAAGCTACATTATAGTGTAAATTCCCATCATATTGAACATTTTTGGAACATTTTTCTGATTCGCCATAGAAACTAATGCATACAGCTTTTGTAGAGTTTTCGACGGCTCATCTTTTTTGAAAAAGTTCAATATTCTATCATTTTCTCAAGTCGAGATATAAGCAAAACAAAAAAATGTTCCAAACATTTACAATATGATGAGAGTGACACTATAATGTAGCTTGTTCATTTTGAGTGTAAGAAAACCAATAGAGCAGGTAAGAAGGAACTCAATCATGCAGTCTTCATAGAGCTTTTCACGGCGCATCTTTTGGAAAAAATTCAAGATTTTATCATTTATCTAAGCCGAGGTATATGCAAAATAAAAAATATTACAACATTATGAACACCATGTAGTAAAAAAAAATGTCACTTTTTTTCCTAATACATTTATTATGCTTCAAACTGCATTTGATATATAACGTAAATATATAGAAAGATGCGGCGCGTTCTAGGCTTTCTTCCTATCTATAGGAAGTTAATAAATAAAAGAAGTCTAGTGATAAAAACTAAAGAAAATAAAAGGGGGAAAACCAATTGGGGTGCACTGTAATTTCGAATTATTCCGAGCTATCAAGTATTTTTCTAGATAATACGACTTACTAGATTTTCCTACAAAAAATTAATAAATGTTGACACACATTGATCAGTTGAGCATTACGTGTATCCATCAACAGATTATTAATCCAAAACTTGATGTATGATAGCGTTCAATAAAAAAAAATTATAACCAGCCTAAAAAAACTCACAAAAAAAATAAGCATGGATGCTTAGTTCGATCCTTAAAAAAAACATCCTTTGGATCTCATCCTCTAAAAGAAGTTATAAAAAATTACCCAATGATTGTTAAATTTGAAATTTATTAAAAAAAATTGATTTTATATATTTCACACGAAATATTTTTCGCAGTGAAATTTGTGTATCCCCTTAAGCCGTATTATTTTTCATATTGTCTCATCATATGCACACACTATGAAAAGAAAAAAACCAGTTGAAGTTTTCATCTTCGTTGCAAGATGTGAAAATAATAATTCACAAAAAAGTAAACGTTCATTTTGGAGTTTATTAACATTCTATAGTATACATTATACGGAATAATCGAAATAATCTCCTAGTTTATGTGACAAGAAGTTACAAAACGAAAAAGAATAACGGTTGATCACCGAGCCATTGTCGAGTGTTTTTACGAATGATAAAATTTTACAGCGCCATCTGTTAAATTCTACAATTTAGGTATTTTAAGGATGTATGGGGTTGTCTGATAGTTTCTTTATCAAGAAAAAAATGCATCGTTATCAGAACAAAATATTATACCTATATTTTTATTGAAAATTTTTTAAAGTACAAAAACCGTCAGAGACCGTCGGTTAACCGCGGTTTACCGACGGTATTATCGAAACCGCGGTAAACCGGCGGTATCTATAAAAATGTGACGGCATGGGTAATTCGATAATTTACTTCTGTGTCTCATTGACTAGCGAACTCTTTCGTCGTTATACGATTTATTGGCCGAAAAATAAAAGAAGCGCTTTAAACAAAGACCATAGATTCGTTGTAGACAGATTGATCCTTTGTTCTTCATCGTTTTCTTTTTCCATCGACCAATATAGTTCATAATACCCTTGCAGTTCGTTTAAGATTCGAGTAAGA